GATGCAGGCTGCCGGAAGATGTAGAGGAGCAGGCTCAGCATCGCTCTCCAAGAAGGGCAAAAGCAGCCTCCCTGGTGTGGTGCTGCAGACAGGAGGCAGACACTAGACTCTGAGCACCCTTTCGGTGCTGCCCTCAACCCCTGCTCTCTCCTCCCAGGGATCAGCAGCTGTGCCTCTTCACCTCTCTCCTGCGGAGCTGGTGCTTGTGTGCTCACCTCGGAGGGATACAGCTGCGTGTGCCACCCTGGCTACATGTTGGACCCCAGCCGCCTCCGCTGCATTGGTAGGTGGGCACCTCCTCTGCCTGCTGAGCCTCGATGGACCATTCAGTCCTTCAGGCTCCTGCGGAAGGTTTTCTGGCAGCGATGCTGAGCCCCTGCCCACCTGCTGCACCACGAGGCTGGCAGGGCTGAGGGTGGTGACTCCTGTCTTCCTTCCTTGCCTGGGCACAGATGAAGACGAGTGTCTGAAAGATCCTTGTGCTGGAAAAGGTCGCTGCATCAACAGCGTGGGCTCCTATTTTTGCCACTGCTACTCGGGGTACACCCTGGCTGTCTCCGAGGGCAAGCAGAGCTGTGAGGGTAAGTGGTGTTCGCCTGGCACAGGGCTCCCACCTCCCCAGTCTCCTGACCTCATGTTCTCTTGTGCACGTGCACACACGTGCACTTGTGCACATACACCTGCACACCTGCACCTGCACATGCACACCTGCGCAACCTCTCTTCCACACACCTGCACACACAGCTGCACACTCTCCCTCCCTGCCCATGGACTGCCTGATGGGTGAGGATCACCCTCTCCCGCTTGCTCAGAAGCAGGACCTTGCCCATGGAGATGTGGACAGGAGCCGGTGATGCCAGCTCTGATCACTGTTTCGTGGCAAGGGGGTGCGAGGACAGATGGGGGACAGAGGGGAGCCCAGGCACGGGTCCCCTGGGCAGAGCCTGCTGCAGGTGGAGCAGCCCCTCTTCTGCACCCAGCCTTCCCCAGGCTGGAGGGAGAAGACTTCAGGACTGTCTCCCTGTGTGTTGCCAGATCGAGATGAATGTGAGCAGCCCTCTACCTGCCGGGGACAGCGATGCATCAACACCCCCGGCTCCTACCGCTGCGAGTGCAAGGAGGGCTTTGCCATGGGCCCCAGAGGACAGTGCGAAGGTGAAGCTGCTCCCTGTTCTCCTGCCTCTCCAACCCACCCTGCACAGGGCTGAACACCTCTTATTCTCACCACTCTAGGTCTCCTCCTGGAAGGGAGGAAGGACCACACCATGTTTGTCTGCCCTGTGCCCCTGCTGAGGGCTGCCTGTCCTCTCCTCTGCCTGCATGAGGGACAAGCATTCCTGGGCTGGGAGAGGGGAGTTCCCCTGAGATCCTCGCCCGCCTCCCCAGGGAGGTCCCCCATGACCAGCACATGCCGGCTTCCTATTCTGAGAGGAGATGCCCATGCATTTTCATGCTATCTCAACACTGTCACCAGATCTTTGTGCTGGCAAGTGGACTGCAGGGAGAGCAGGCTGCAGAGACTCAGGCCACCTGTCCCCATAGCATCTCACTCACATGGCACCACCTGGGCCCTTCAGAGCATTTGACCTTGCGAACATGTGATGTGCCTGATCAAAGATCCCCCTTTCTCAGTAGTTCTTCTCCAACAGAGTGGGTGACTATTTTAGGAGGCAGTACGGGAAACAGGACATGCACAGAATGCTGCTCCCCCTGCGCAGCCTCCAGAAAGCACTTGCCTTAAGGACTTCCTGAGCTGGAGGCTACATCCTAATCATAGTTATGAAAGTCCCTGATGAAACAGCCCTGCACAGATGTTCTCTGATCCCTTTCTCTGCCCGTGCACATTCCTGGCCTTGGCAACATCCTGCAGTGGTGAGTTTCACTGCTGGATTATGTCAGCCCTCAGGTGTGGGTGTAGGATCCTGAGTGATAAATGGGACTATAAGAAGTGTTGCCCAGGCCCTGGCAAACTTATCTCACCTCCTCTTGGGCATCACTGTGCCCCGGAGGGGGACTCTGAGGATCCAGCTGGGGACACCCTGGAGATGGCTGCACTGTTCGCCTTTGGGAGCCTGCAAGGAATGTGTTTCTTGGCAGATGTCAACGAGTGCGTGGATCCCAGCCCTTGCCGCAGCGGGAAGTGTGTCAATACACTGGGATCCTACAAGTGTGTCAGCTGTGGGGATGGCTACCGGCCCAGGAACGGGAGATGTATTGGTGAGGAGCTCAAGCTGTCTCTGGGCAGCACCCTTGCCCCCCGCAGCAGTGCTCTCTGCAAACCTCAAAAGGAGCAGGGGCACAGGCAGCACCCTTCTCCCGCAGGCAGCCAGCCTGCGTGGCCAGGGCACAGTGCCCTGCATGGTAGGACGGCCCTGAGCATCCCCCATGCCATGTTGCCCTTTGCTGTGTCACACAGACGTGGATGAGTGCCTTGTGGAGGGGACTTGTGCTCATGGACGGTGTGTCAACCTGGATGGCTCCTTCCGCTGTTCCTGCTACCGGGGCTACAAGGTGGCACCTGATGGGAAGAGCTGCCAAGGTACTGGGGAGCTGTGGGTCCAGACCCTCTGAAGTGTCATGCACCCAGTCCAGAGGTTTCTCTAGGCTCTTCCTGAGAGCTTGGCTATGCCTGAGTCCTGGCCACCATGTTGGCTGGCTCTCTCAACGCATCTGCCCCAGTCATGGTTACTCCGCATCCTTCCCACTCATCCTGCTTTCCCTCATGTGCTTATGCAGACATTGATGAGTGCTTGGCCCAGGCTGCCTGTCCCTCCGGACTCTGCCTCAACACTGAGGGCTCCTACTCCTGCATGGCTTGTGACGCTGGCTACGCTGTCTCCAGAGATGGAAGCGTGTGTGAAGGTATCCCGTTCCCAGGGACAGAGGAGCGGGTGCTGGAGGGAACGAGGGAAGAGGCATTGCCATAGCTGGGTTATTGGTGGGGCCTGGGGACTTCTTTAGCCTCAGGATCGTTCTCCAGCTCTTTAGCTCTCTGATCAGCAGAGAGTGGGGGTGGGCTGCAAGTGGGTGTCACCTACAGCAGAAGGAAGGAGATCTTCCTCATGCAGGAAAGGGATGAGGGGCAAGAACTTATTGATTAGGCTCCTGGACTAATGACGACCTGGAGGATGCCGACAAAGGCTAGAGGAGTACAGGAGGCCTGGAAACACGGGCAGAGAGGAACCATTGTGTGTGGTTCAGTTCAGAACTGTGTGCCTGGAAGCACATGCCCCAAACGTCAGTCCTCAACAGAGGAAAAAACCTTGGGTCCACAGCCAGTGGAGAGACTGTGGGCACCCAGGTTCCATTTTTCCCCAGCCTCTGATGTGACTTGGACATGTTTAAAAAGGAAAGCTTAGTTCAAGGGCTCTGCTGTGCCAGGTATTCGTGACAGAGGGTTAACACCAGCATTGATCTGTGTTGGTTGTGTTGCTGAGACATGCAAGTGCTCCGTCCCAGCCTGACAGCCCCAGCTCAGACAGGGAAACTCCCTCCCTGGTGGCTGCCCACAGGGGACGTCCTGGGCTTGAGATGGCTTCGTGCAAATTCCTTGTTTGGGGCAAGGGAAGGGAGAGGGCAGAGGAAGCCAGAGCTGCAAAGGTATTTGTTTAAAGATTGGCCATGTGCTGCGAATTTCCCTCTGGAGCACTGCAGGGCTCTGCAGCCTGCACATAGCTAGCAGACAAAAGATCTTGCCTTTGATGTGACTCTCAGAAGACCCTCCCTGCGTGGGGGCCTCCAGTGTGGGAGGAAAGGGAGGCCTTCCTTCCTCTATGCTCCTCTGTTTTGGTGTCTGAGAAAGACAGTGCAAAATGAGCTAATTTTCCATCTGATTTTTGGGATTAATAGAAGAATCATGGTTTAATCCCCTCCATCTGCCCTCCCCCTTTCCCCAGACTCCACATGAGCCCCTTCTCAGCCACCTTGCCCCAGCCATGTCACGAGAGCACGTTATCAGGGTTCAATACTGTTTGGGTCACGCTGACCCGATGGCAGGATGGCACGTTCTTCCCTGCCTTGGCTGGTGGCCTTGTCTGTGGATCTGGGTTTCATATTTGAAAAATGATAAGAGTTTTGTGGTATTTTTGTGATAAACAAACTAGGTTATGGTTCATCTCCAGAAGGACTGAAGAATATTGCTACTTGCAACCCTTTGAGACTAAACAGCAGGCAATGGCAGCCTGCTGGCATCTCACAGCCCTCTCTTAGAGGGAAGGTGCCCCTCTCTCCTCTGCCGTGAGCAGAATCCTCAGAGTGCCAGCAGGCTCTGTCCAAGGCCTTGGGGAGTTGGGTGGGAGAGGGTTTCTGGGGAGCTCTGCAGCTGAGTAAGAGCTGATGTAGGGCCCTGGCCAGCTTTACCAGGAGAAGAACATTGTAGGCAAGTCTGCCAGGTAGGGAAGCAGAGCCACAGAAGGTATGGCTGGTGCTAGGTTATCTTCCTGATGTTGGCTTTTGTGCAGTTGGCTGAAGAAAGGATTTGTCAGCAGCTGCGACTCTGCACTGGCCTCTTGGTGGTTGTGGTACCCAGTGCTGAGCTCTGCTGGAGATGGACACTGGAGTTAGCAGTATCCCTGTGCTCACAGAGTGACAGAATGGCTGAGGTTGGAAGGGACCTCTGGAGATCATCTCGTCCAACCTTCCTGCTCAAGCAAGGCCACCTAGAGCTGGTTGCCCAGAACCACATCCAGATGGCTTTTCAATATCTCCAAGGAGGGAGACTCCACAACCTCTTTTGGCAACCTGTGCCAGTGCTCAGTAACACTCACAGTAAAAAAGTGTTTCCTGATGTTCAGACGGAGTTCCTGAGTTTCAGTTTGTGCGCATTACCTCTGGTGCTGTCACTGGGCACCGCTGTCTTGGTGCTGAGATCCAGTTTATCGTGGTCCCTATGATGGAGATGAGCGAAGAGTCTGGGCTGACTCCTCACAGCCCAGTAACAGGGAGTCTCTGCCCTCATCTCACTGTGACGGGATGGTCTGGGAGGGCAGCTCAACCCCACCTTGCAGGCCAACAGCTGGGTGATGGCATCTCTGGGTGGGGATCTTCTCTAGTGGTGGCAAGAGCTGGGGCCTCACTCCGCTGTGCCTTTCTGCTTGGCAGATGTGGATGAGTGTGAGGACCCTACTGTTCAGTGCCTGCGGGGAGAGTGCAGGAACACCCCAGGCTCCTACAAGTGCCACTGCCAGGCTGGCTATGAGCTCATCAACGGCACCGTCTGCGAAGGTATGAACCCCATCCTTGCCGCCCTTTGGGTCCAGGACATACAGCCTCCCTATAGATCCTACTTTAAATGCTGAGGTAGTTGATGCCACCATGCATGGCACATCCATAAGGTTGTAGCTAAATGCAGGATCACCATGGACAGGGAAGATCTGTCTCTGTGGTGAGAAAACCAGGGGCCAGGAGCCTGGCAAGGGCTGCCTGTAGGAGACTGGGGAGAGTGAATCTGTGTGGCTTTGATGAAGGACATCCCCCAGGGCTGGGTGCATGGCCCTGACTCTGCTCCCTCTGCAGACGTGAATGAGTGTCTGAACAGCGAGATCTGCAGCCCCAATGGTGAGTGTCTCAACAGTCACGGATCCTACTTTTGCATTTGTGCTCCTGGATTCTCAAACGCAGCTGGCGGAGTCAGCTGCCAAGGTGAGCTGGAGGATGGCGGGGACATACCTCGGGTTCTGCCCTCTGCTCCCTCCCCTGCTTTGAGATCCAGGTTGACAATTTTGGCCTGATTTTGCAGATGTGGATGAATGCACAGACAAGTCCCGGTGCTCACAAGGGCAGTGCCTGAACACAGAAGGCTCCTACAGGTGTCTATGTGAAAATGGGTTCAAACACTCCCAGGAGACTGATGACTGCGTAGGTGAGAGCTCATCTTTGGGGAGATCAGCCCCCTGGGGTTTGGGGGATGGATGCAGCCAGTGCAAGGGGGAGGGCAGTTCTGCTCCCAGCACCCAAAGTTGCTGGTGACTTTTAAGGAGAACTAGCAATGGCTTAGGGCCTCTGGCCAACTGAAATTGACCCAGGTGCTGCAGTGAGCAAGCAAGGACCCCATCTGACCATCTTCACCCCCTTGCCCTCCTCCCTGCAGACGTGGATGAGTGTAAAGAGTACGGTGATGCCATCTGTGGCACGTGGCGGTGCCAGAACAGCCTGGGCTCCTACCGTTGTATCATGGGCTGCCAGCCTGGCTTCCACTGGACCCCCTTGGGTGACTGCATCGGTGAGTACAGTCCTGGGTGTCCCTGTCTCTCCTCCTGGCAGGGACAGGGTGGCTGTGGGACATCTCTGCCAGGGGCGCGGGGGAGAAGGAGGAGGAGGAGGAAGCGTGTGGCTGGTGGAGAGGCAGATAATGCTGAGAGTTTGTTTTCTTGGCTGAGCTGCCTGCTTGTGTCTAGACTTCTCTCTTCCTGGCATCTGGAACAGACACCGCATTGTGCTGCTTTCCGCTCCGGGAGAGTCCTGGGCAGGTTACAGCCATTCCAGGCTTGGGGCTGAACCACAGCTCCCTGTAAGCTGTGCTTGCTGATGTTGCTGCCTGTGCCAGTCACCTGCCTGGCAGGGCTGGGCGAGGGGAAAGGCTGCTGATACCACTGTGTGCTGGGCTGGGGAGGCTGGGTTTGGAGTTCAGGCTTCAGCAAAGAGGAAAGAGCAATGGAGTTTCTGTGGTTTTTGAGGCTCCCCCCAGCTCAGGGGAGGCTGCAGCGGGAGGAGCTGCTGCCAGCCGCTGGGCTCCGGGCTGAGCCAGGACTCGAACTTAGCATATGGAGCTGCTCCTGGCCTTAGGAGCAGTGGGCTGTGGGCACATGGCTGCTCTGCCTCCTCCAGGGAATTCCGCCCCATGCAGCAGTAGGAGGGAAGTGGAATGCAGCCAACAGGGCTGTAAACCTGCCCCCCCATAGGCAGAAGACCCAGTTGTGACTGTCCAACCCCACCAGCCTGGGGAAAGGCAGAGATTGCTCCCTGGCACTAGAGCAACTGGAGGAGGACCAGGTCAAGAAGAATGGGGCAGGAAGGTATCATCCTAGATCTCTCTGCACTCGCCTCACACACTTCAGTTACCCCCTTGTATCTCCTGCTGATGTGACCCCGTAGGCTCCCCTCACACACACACACACGCACGCACACACACACACATCCGTTGGGAGAGGTGGGGCAATTCCTGCTCTCCGCTCTGCTGCAGACATAGATGAGTGTGCCAACGAGACGCTGTGTGGGAGCCATGGCTTCTGCGAGAACTCAGACGGCTCCTTCCGCTGCCTCTGCGACCGTGGCTATGAGAGCTCGCCCTCCGGGCACTACTGTGTTGGTGAGTCACCCGCGATCGCTCTGCCAGTCAGTGAGGGACAGCCATCGGCAGATGCCAGGCTGGTGTTCCCACTGTGTGACAGCTCCTGGGGCATGGACGGGGACTGCATCCATGCGTGGAGAATCCCAGGCATGGACAGGGCAGCTGATGGAGGCAAAAATCCTTCCCTTAGCACAGCAGATCCTTGGGACTGTGAAGGAGCAGGGCTCTATGAAAAGGTGAGTGGCTCCAAGTGAACATGGAGCCCATCTCTGTGCAGGTGGAAAGGAGGCGCTTGGGGGCTGGAAGTACTAACAGTGCTAGAGAGGTACTTTAATGGGTGCCTGGAGAGAAGAGGCAGGGTGTAATATAACAAAAAACATTTTCACCATGAAGACAGGCAGGCAGTGGAACAGATGCCCAAGATGGCTGTGTAGTCGCCATCCTTGGAGGCTTTAAAGACCCAACAAGACAAAGCCCTGAGCAGCCTGGTGGGATCCCATAACTGAGCCTTCTTTGAGCAAGGAATTGGACTAGAGACCTCAAGCGATCCCTTCAAACCTGGATGATCCTGTCATCCGGTGACTCACTGCAAGCTGGAGTTTAGGCTCCTTGAATCCACTGAGAGCAGAGCAGAAAGCTCTTGCCAGGCTTGTGTTGAGCCACAGTGTGAACCCAGCTCTCAGCTGGTCCCTAGGAGCTGCCATCCCCCCGCTGAAGGGTGACCCCATGCGGCAGACCATGCACTGGCTGCCCATGCAGAGGCAGAGCTCCAGCTGCCACCGCTGCCCTTGCTTTGCAGATGTGAATGAGTGTGAGCTGATGGTCGCTGTGTGCGGCACTGCACTCTGCGAGAACGTGGAGGGATCCTTCCTCTGCCTCTGCCCCAGCGACCATGAGGAGTACAACACAGAGGCAGGGCAGTGCCAGCCCCGAGCTGCCATGGGTGAGTAGACAGTTAGGACAGGAGCACGGGTGGCAGCTGTGGTGAGATAAAGCTGAGGGGCTGCCGGGGCTGTACAAGCCCACGTGGGCATGGGCAAGCTTTCATCTGGGGAGAACCGAGGAGCCTGAAAGTCTGGGGACCTAGGAAGGCCATGCTGCTGGTGATGGTTGTGCTCTGGGACCTCCCAGGTGTGGGATGCTGCGCTGGGGTGCCAAGGACCCCATCCCATCCCTGCTCTGCTGTCTTCTAGAGGGTCCCGAGACACACGCAGCCCACCTCTCTGACACTACAGAGCGCAAGCAGTGCTACTACCACATCAGCGATGTTCGCCTGTGTGACAGCGTCCTGGCCAAGAACATCACCAAGGAGGAGTGCTGCTGTACTGTGGGGGCAGCCTGGGGTGACAACTGTGAGACTTACCCCTGCCCCATCCCGGGCACAGGTAGGATTGTGGCCCCACCACACCAGGCAAGGCCAGTGCTCTGCCCACCAGCTCCACTTCAGTTGCACTAACAAGCTGTTTCTTTTCTTCACATCTCCCCTTGGCATCTGCCTCCTGGCCAGTGGAGTATCAAGAGATCTGCCCTCTCGGAAAGGGCTATGTTCCCCAGGAAGACATGCTCTCAGGAAAAGTCTCTTTCATAGGTACTAGCACCATTTTCTCTCATTTCTTCCAGGGGAAAGGGGGAGGGCGCTGTGCAAAGCCCTGCATGGAGATGCATCCACAGAAAGGTCTCCTAGGGTCTGTGGTGGGGGATACTAACATCGTGCTGCTGCTTTCCTCCATCCAGAGAAATCTCAGATTGCTGGAAGTGCCCCTTCCTTCAGTCCTGCCTCACTGCTGGCAGTGATTCTTTCTCCCATGCCCTCAAACCAGGGATGGGGTCCAGTAAGACACAACCTTTCCAGTTACTGATCAGATCTCCCAGTGGCCAGCTGCTGGCTCAGTCTTTGGCCCTTCACCTTCTGGGGGTTGTGTTCTTGACCTTCCAGAAACACATATGAATTTCCTATTTATGAAAGTATCTTGTTCTCCGTCATCCCTCCTCCCGCTCTGCCTGTGGGTGCTTCCCCCTCTGATCCAGGCCGAGGTGTTGTGCCAGCTTTCTGTGGGTACAGCACCCAGCCTGTCTTGCTTCCATGGCTCTGCTCCCTGAGACACTCTCTCCCTCCCTCCATCCCTCTCTCAGACATGGACGAGTGTGAGATATTTGGCTCGGAGTTCTGCCGCAATGGACAGTGTTTGAACACGGTGCCCGGCTACAAGTGCTTCTGCCGTACAGGCTACTTCTATGACTCCAGCAAGCTTGAGTGTGTTGGTAAGATGGCCTCAAAGAGCAGCGGGCACCCCACTGCACACAGAGGGACAGCCATGCTGCTGCACCCAGAGTTGTCCCTGCTGCCCAGCCCAAGGCCAGGTTTGGGCGACAGGCTTCTTGGGACCCTCCTGGAGAATGAGAGAAGAGGTGGCAGGAGCCCCTGAGGTCCCCGTTTGGGCAGGGAAAGGGTTGCATTGCCCATGTCTGTTGGCCTGAAATGTTGCTCTGTCCTTGTGTGTGGGCAGACCAGGACGAGTGTCAAAACGAGGTGTACTGCATCAATGGCGAGTGTCTGAACACAGATGGCTCCTACCACTGCTTCTGCAGCCTCCCTCTTGTGCTGGATGCCACCGGCAACCGATGTGTGAACCTCTCCAGCAGGGCAGGTGAGCCCAAGCCCCCACGGGAGCACCCCTTTGCCCTGCACATCCTGCCCCATGGCTGGATCTCCCAGGAGGGAGCAGTGGGTGGGAGCTCGGTGCCAGGCTGAGGGATGCCTATACCAGCACAGTGTGCAGCCATGACAGGGGTGGCAGGAGCTGGGGCACATGGTCTCTCTCAAGACAAGGCAGAGGCACTCTTTTGGATGGTTTTCATGGCATCCTTTGCTTGTGGCACTCACAGATCCCTTGGAGGAGTATGAAATCCACCTGGACGTCTGCTGGCAGACCGTCGCCGACTACATCTGCCAAGACCTGCTGCACGGCGAGCAGACCACATACACCGAGTGCTGCTGCCGGCTCGGTGAAGCCTGGGGCCAGAACTGCGCGCTCTGTCCACACAGGTCCTCCGGTGAGCGGGGCGGCGTGAGCAAGCATCCCCCAACAGAAGTGGGGATGGGCTGGGCTGCTGCTGGTTGTGCCAGGCAAAGCTGGCCGTGTATGGCTGCAGTGAGGGCTCCGCTTGTTGTCTGCATTGCCAAAGCCAGCCCAAGGAGTGGGTGAACCCCCCACTTCTCCAGGGCTGAGCTGCACCAGTGGGTAGGATGTACCTGAAATTGGTTTGCAATGTGTCTGAGGTGTCTGAGGGGAGAGTTGCTCTGTGCATCCTGCTGCTCCTGCTTAGCTTAGGAGAGATGAGGTGGTGGCAGCCCAGGATAGGAGCACACTGGGAACTGGGGTTCTCACTGCTCAAGGACTTGCTGGACCCAGAGAGAAGCTGGTCTTCTCAAAGGCCGGGTGCTGTCAGCAAAATACAGAGCTGCAGCTTTGGAGGCCATTGAACGCAGGCCTGTCTCAGCTGACCTGGTGTGGACGTACCCTCTCTAACTGTAGCAGATCTACCTCTCTTGAGCCAGGCTGCGCTGACCCTTCCTTTTCTCTGACCACTTCCAGCTGATTTTGCTTTCCTGTGTAACGGGGCCAGTGAAGACAGTGAAAGAGGGGCTGAGCTCCGAGAAAGACCTAGGTATGAGTACGGACCGGGCTTGGAAGACCCCCACTACGGCCTTCCCAGCCCAGATATGGGCCCCTACTACAACTACCTGGAGTCTGAGTACGGAAACCCCGATGCTGGTTTCCCTCGGAGGGAGCCCAACGGCGAGTTTCGTGGCAGCCCTCTCCACCATGGCCCAGGGCGGTCCCCAAAAAGACGGGTGGGTACTGGGAGACTCAGAGAGGTCCCTCCCCCCCCAGCCGCAGTCCATGAGGACTTCCTGGCAGCTCCCACCCTAGCCAGGATGCTCCAGACTTGGAGCAAGCTCTGCCCCTGACTGTTCTGAGTCGGTCCTGGCCCCACCAGCACCGTTTTGCCACGTACCCGATGTCCCCTCCGTGGCCAGCAGAGGGTCCCCCTGCTCTGACACGGTCTCACCACTTTCCAGGCCTCTACGAGGGCTTCGAGGGGCTGCAGGCTGAGGAATGCGGGATCCTCAACGGCTGCGAGAACGGGCGCTGCGTGCGCGTCCGGGAGGGCTACACCTGCGA